AAATAAAATAAAATATAAAATATACATGTCGAAATAGAAAATATACATGCAGATATTATATATATATATACAAATATATATATATATATTCAAAATATATGGAATATGGAGTATAAATATTGAACACATTATAGAGTAAAATGTACAACGTGGTTTTATTTCAAGAGAAACTATGGAGCAGAGAGTTCTCTTCCAGAAAAGAGTAAAAGTAATGCAGGAGAGGTGAGATGGAATAAGTATAATGTAAAATGAAAAGCTGTACAGTGAAATAAAAATACTGCCATCTTAATAATAATGATCCACAAGAGGAGATTCTACCCATGGCTGTGTAAACCTGTATATTAGCATGCATGCTGCTATATCTATAAACTGAGATGAAGCCCTCGCAGGGAGGGCCGAGCACTTCCTTAATGCCTGCTGCTAGCGGTCACTTATTGGATTGTGAATCACATGAATTGTGCTAATAACTTGTAAGGTATCAAACTGTGACCGGCAATTTGATTTTGACTATAGTTTTCAAGACACAAGCAGAATAAAGTAAGCAGACAGCAGATGGTCTGTGTGGATATTGAAGCAGCTCAATGTAACATGAAAATAACAGGAAAGAGGAGACACTTTTTTACTCATCCTGTATCGGATAATCTGCAGGTTGCAAAGCTTTGGAATGGAGCTGCAGTCTCTCCCACAAGAGTTCATATCAGTAGTATCAGACAGATCCTCATGGCTGGAGGAATGCGAGCAGGAAGCACGGTGACTGAGGTGCCAATCAGATCCTGCCGGCAGGCTTTGTTTCTGTTGTTGTTAATTGTGTTTTTGCTGTCTCTGCAGTGGCCCCAGTGTCATAGAACATATGTCTGAACTGCAGTCTGACATTATAGCCTCAGAAAAATAAACCGACCCTTGGAGCTTTTCATTTTTTCAAGTATGTGTTTTGTTCATCGGCCAAAAACAAATACAACAGCGAAGGATTGACAGGAGGCTTCACATGAGCAGCAGAGGTGAGCAGGAGTGCTGAGAGAGAGTTTACCTCATAACCATTCGTGGAAGGCAGCGAAAGTTCTGTGACACTTTATGAAAACCTGTGCAGGAAGTTCAATTTTTGCATGAACCCTTCACGGAGAGGTGAGGTATGGGTCAGATGTAGAGCCCTCCCCCTTGGAGCTGCTGCAGGTTCAGGTTCACAAAGTTTATCCTTTAAAGGCTTCTTGCAGTGCTTACAGTGTTAAGAAAATGCAGCTGAGTGTACTGTAGTTAATGCCATGTTGGCAAAATGGGGACAATGGGAAAACATGTTCTTTAATTTCTTAGTGACAGCTTCCCCTATAATTAATCCTAATTTGATGTCATGTTTCATATTTGTATTAATGTGTTGAAGTGAAACCAGACAGAAACTTAGTTCAAATTAATTTGCTGAATCAACAGTATTTATGTAAACGTTGGATTAAATTAAGATGTAATTACCAGTGATGGTGACCTCACAGACATTTGGTTGACTCTTCTGTGGATATTTAAAGCAAGTGGCTGTTTAGATTTTAGAACTGCTGCTCAGAATGACAACTATAGTAGGAGGCTGTGTGAACGGTTGTTCCCACTCACACTAGTATTTACAGTGTGTAAAATAGGAAGTGGAATCGTTGACAAAGATCAAGTCCAAAGCAAGTGAGGGTGGCAGTTGAGACACATTTTCGTATTGACCAAACTGTGGTAGTAGAACTTCTGTGTCAGTCCAAGACCTCTGTAAATCAGCAAATATTTTTCTTTTAATCAACTACCCAGAACCGTAGATTAGCCTTAATTAAATCATGAGTTTTCAAAAGTTGTAAAATGGCTAAAAGTCAAATCAAGTTATATTCCATCTCCGAACATTTGATCAAGCTGAGAGTGGAAGGAGGCGGGGCTTAAGGAAAACAAAAGTGTGCATGCTCCTTAGGTCCGGTGGTGTGGCTACAGTCAGGCCATTTTCAGCTTTATGAAGAAGCAACTTTCATATGAATGAACGGGTCCCCGTCTCTAACGCTGTATCCAGTTTTGTTTTTACATCCATGACCCAAATATATAATGTTGGTCAGAAACTCCCACATTGTACGTTTTTAAAGCTGGAACCAGAAATTAGCCAGTGTGTCATGGAAGAATAAATAAAAGCCGTACCAAACAGCACCTGGGAAGATGTTTGCAGGACCACACAGGAACTGAATCAGAAACTCCAAGCTAATATACTTACCCTGGGTGATAAGAAAACCTCCCGTAATAAACCTGTTGGTGTCATTATAATAGAGAAATCTCCATTACTTGTTCCCAGTGCAGTGGCTGTATCCAGTGGCTGCCAGATGAGTCAAATTTAAAGCCCATGAAATATGGAAAAGGGCACAGTGTTGGCCCGGAGCCTGGCCACCCACTCAGCCCTCAGGCAGGGGTCCCATCCCATCACATATCCACCTCCTGCCTGTGTGTGGCTCTCCAGCTGCCTGTTCACTTCCACACACTATTTGCTAAATTGGTTACACACTGTTCATGTCATTATGATTAAATGAGCCCTGATTGCCCAATACTTTGCCAGGTAAAATAAATCTGTTCTCTATTCCAGAATGATAGGCAGGGTTGCCTAAAGATAAATACAAATAATAATAAAAGAAGCATATAAAGGTTTGCCAGGGGCCATTTTGGCTCGATTCAAATGTGTTTTGCCAAGTGTCAGGATGGCTGCCAGTTTCCACAGCAATCTCTGCCACCTGTGATGGATGGCCCAGCAGGTTAGGCTACACAAACGCAGCTGTGATTGCATGGAGCCATAATGGAGAGACGGGGCGACCTGTGAGCAGGAGATAGACGGAGGTTTTATAAGCTTTCATATTGCTTTGAGCTGAAACACTTAGAGCAGATCCAGAGCCTGGAAACATCAGAGAATTAGCTGCGGTCAACCATAGCTGCACTAGTCTGCTCTGTGCCCTAAGAGGGAAATAATTGAACAAAAACTTTGAACAGTTTTTTTTCTCACGTTTAGTCAGGCCAAACACACATTTTAGGATTAAACACAAATCCAACTTTCTCAATTATACAGAGACAGGAAACATCCATGCATATAGTCGCATATCTGAGTGCTCAGGCCAACAAACTAATGTTGCATAAGACATGAAAAAACAACCAAAAACCACTGTAGATTAATCTGTGTCTCATGGAGATATATAAGATGACTCGTATACATTTTAAGAAGACCATCAGAAATATTGCGTCTTTAAGGCACAACTAGCAAGGTTTTACTGGCTTCACATTTTAAGGTTTGAATTGTTTGTCCTACATAATGAGTAAACTGGATATCATGAGGTTTTGGTTTGGGGGCTTTTGATTTGGAAAAAAAGGAGGGAAAAAAGTTCTGAGAAACTGTGAAGGGCATTGTTAAATATTTGCAGACATATTATAGTCACAACAATTTACTGATCAAGAAAACAAAAACAATCCTGTTGCCACCAAACTAGTTAGTGAGCACTTGAAGCGTCTTGTCTACTAAAATGATCAAGTCATCAAGTCAGTTCCTTCTAAATATTCTTTTGTGAATTTCAAAGCTTAAAGGGGACCTATCATGCAAAATGCACTTTTGTACGTCTTTTATACATGAATATGTGTCCCCGGTGTTCCAGGGAACTCACCAAGTGTCAGAAAACACAACCCTCTCTCTTTTCCTCCATACCCAAATCTCGAAAAAACGGGGCTGCAACGGATCTGATACAGACACACTGATACATATTTGAAATTCCTCTGACGTCAGGAACGAGGAGCTCCGCCTATATGGCCAACTCTCCACCTATCAGGGGAATGTGGGGTTGGGCCACGGCCGGCCATTGCCGCTCGAAAGTGCTGGAGACGCTGTAGTACATATGCCAGGCCTGTAAGTGGCGCTGTAGTCTGCCACAAAAGCAGCGAAGAAGACTTCCCGCGCATGGTTGCCATGGTTGCCCTTCTGTTTATTCTCCGCTGTGGCTTTTTTTCTCACTCCCCGAGGCAAGCGTTTGCTCCTGCTGCTTTAATTCAATGCAATCCCTCCCCGTCGAGGCAAGCACTGTAATTCTCTCCGGTTAGTCCACCAGCAGATGACAAACACCCACCTCTCCGCCTCTTCCAAGGAACGAGGGGACCGTGCGGCAGAGTTTCAGTTAGATTTTTTTTCACCGGTCAACATGTCCGTTAAAGTTTAAATCTTCCGGACAAAATTAGAAAAGTGCCGGTCAAAGGTCTTCTTTGTTATTTATTGAGCTTTAAAACAAATGAATAATGACTCTATATAATCATATAAGAATAAAACACGGAGGACGGAGATCTCTTTTTCTCCCCCTCTTCTGACAGCCCAGCAGCTGATCTCAAAGCACGCTCCCCTCTGGCGTGGTCAGCTGCAGCTCATTTGCATTAAAGCTACGTCACAGAATCAGCCCCCCTGCAAAAACAGGGTTGGAAAAGAGCAAATAGAGCGAAATGAGGCATGGCTAAAATGCAGGATCTGTTTGGTATTTTGAAACAAAAACTATATTTATATACTTTATATAGGTATGGCCCTACAATATATTGTTAAAATATAGCATGATAGGTCCACTTTAACTGTTTGTGCAGTGTGTGTGAGACACACACACTGTGTTTTGTGTGTGCTCACAGCTACACTAACTAATCTGAGAACTCACAAGAAACTAATTCTGTTATTTCCCTGAAGTCTCTGTCCTTTCTGACTGTCTGTATGATGAGCCACATAATACTACATTCATTAGACCCCAGGGTAGGCTACATCTTTTGCTCAAAGTTAAACATTTTCAACTCAGAAGATGCATCTTTCTTCCTTAGATAAATTATTGTGCCTATCTTTACCCACTTAACATTCAAGTTGCATTGTTGCAGGACATTTTGCCATGTTAACACACACACACACACAACAGGACAGGAGTTTGGGTGAATCTATCATGTGTTCCAGAGATGTCAGACAGAATCTGATTAGTGGTGTAACTGTGTTTTCTCAACAGAGAGACATGCTGGACGTAAGTCAAATCATGAAGGATCTGGCCTGTATGGTCCATGAACAAGGCGACGCAATAGGTAAGATATTGTGTGTGTGTGTGCGCTGTGTAAGTGTCTGTTTGTGTTGAATGTTATTCACATTGTGAAGTGCTTGATTAATAACATGAGCTTGAAGATTCTGCTGGTCAAAAAATAACTGTGTAACTTCCACCTCGCTGCCCGTGTACGGGCTTGTTGATAAGAAGCAAAATGTTCTGGGTTTCTTCAAACCCTGATATCTGTAAATGGCTCTCACACCCTGAAGTCATTTAGACTTGGCCAAAAACTAAACGCAGCACAAAGATATATAGGGCAGATAGAGGCTTTGCTGCTGTGTCACACATCTGCCATCAGCTCTGTCTGGCTCCATCATGAACATTCACTACAGAATTGGCTGTTACTAATGTTAAACACCTGCACAGACAAAGAGACATAGCGGTTGCAATCAAGTTTAGATCAATTCTGAGAGAAGTGAAAGGTTTGATCATGCAGATTCAAATTGAGGTGATAGTTTTTAGCAGTTTGACCCTACAAAAAGACTTACGTTCTGTTTTACGGCTTTCTTAGCCACATGATACACTGGGAGGCAAACTTAACCTTTTATCCTTGAAAAGCAATTGCCGGTATATATATATATATTTTTAGGCATAAGGGTTGAAGTTCAAAGGAAAAGTAGTTATTTTAGACCCCCTCAAATGACGTCACATAGGCCTTAAGGAGTTGGTATCCATGACCAAGCCTCTGCCTAATGTAAAGTCGTAGGTCGCACTCTAAGCCATCATTATTTTGCCAATCAGTGTTTCTTATGTATTCTAGATGGCATTTGACCATTTGCAATCATGGTGAATCTTGTGTATAAATCGTGTACATTTAATGAAGGGACATATGCAGCTACAACCGGTGCTGCAATGCTTCTAGTCCACTGAACTGGCTCCTCAACCACTAACACAGTGGTGTGGTACAAGTCCAACACTGACTATGACCTCAATAATTAAAATAAAATGGAACTACAAAAGTTCACTCAGTAGAAACCAGAACTCTGTGACAGAACCATGTTTAAGAAAATGTAAACCGCCCCTTCCCCCCGATGAGATTCAGCTGGTAGATCATCTGTTTGAGCGCGTCTGATACGTTCCATAATTTGTCTTATGTATTTTCTTAATAAATAAATCAACACAATGTAAAGAAAATAAATATTCTCACATATTGGCTCTATTACACAGACAAATACAACTGTTCACTTTCTAAATTCAATTCTGCCAGTTTAGCAACAGTGGTGTACAGAGCAGCTACCTGAAGACACGAAGATAGCTAACTAGCTTCTGCTTCTTTGCAGTTGTTAAACTGGCAATTATGACATAACTATACGGATTGTGGGATGTACAGATCAGTGTGTGTGTAGTACCATTAGCTGCAAACAAAAAAAGTTCACCAAGCTATTTCCAACCATGCCATTCTCTGACCGCTGTGTACTGAGCAGTGTGTGTTCACTTCATTAGTTTCGTTAGCAAAACACCATTCAAAACGTCGGGTTACGTATTGTAACCCTTGTTATATAAACACAGGCGGAGCCCTCTACTGGACTCTATGGGTACTACCTTATCATGCAAGCATTCACCTACTGAGATTTCTATAGACGTAGCCGGCCCCGGGGCGGGCTTACCTGAATGCGTGCGCATCTCACTTCCGTATAAAAGGAGGCCTCGCCTCCTGACCACTATCCTACACCACTCTTCAGCGAGCGGTATAGGACAGACAGTGCCCCCAAGGTAGAGGGCTCCGCCTGTGTTTATATAACAAGGGTTACAATACGTAACCCGACGTTATATCTCTCACAGGCTCCGCCCTCTACTGGACTCTATGGGTACAGTGGGCGGAGCCCCGATGTATGCACGCACTGTCGTCCAGCACACCGTTCCACCTCACTGTCCCTGACCGGCTTTAGCAGCCACTGCGCCTCACTCACCTCTCCCTCGGTTGTAACCGTGGAGAAGTCCGGGCTGCGGCCGATAGAGCACACCCTGACGCGCTTGCCTCGCAAAAAAGTGTGCTCAAAAATAGTGCTGAGGACTCCCCTGCGTCTGCCCATAGGCAGACAGGGAAAGTCTGCAGCCCTGTATGGGTTCACTATGCACTCTCCCTCCTGAGTTCCTAAAGAGCACGGGGAGAACGCAAGTGCCCCCTATGTCCCCCCACTCCGCCACTGACCCTGTGCAGAGTGTGTAGGGACAATAATATGGAGGGCTCTCCCCCTCCTGCCCCCAGGCAGGTGAGGGGAGCCCTACAGCCCTGGAAGGGCCCAGAGCGCATTACATCACCCCGCGACCCTCCAGGGGTCCGGAGAAATGTAAGCGCATTTACGTCCGGGGAGGGGGTCAGATGCCCACTGACCCACAGCCCCCCCCCTCCTCACCAGTCCTGTGTTGCCGCAGCAAGTACAGACGATGAGAAAGAGCCAGACATATCCAAGAGATAAAACTTTATGAAGGGGCCTGGCGTTGACCAAGACGCCGCCGTGCATATATCCTCCACACTCACACCACTGAATAAGGCTGTTGATGCAGCCACAGCTCGTGTGGAGTGCGCACGGACCCCCCTGGGACAGGCTCTCCCTGCCTGCTTGTAGGCGTGTGCAATGGTTTCACAAAGCCAGCCTGCCAGGCGTTTCTTGGACAGAGCTTTTCCAGTCACCCTGCCCCCGAAGCACACAAACAGCTGTTCAGTGCGTCTCAGGGTAGCTGTGCGCTCTACATAATATGCTAATGCGCGCACCGGGCAGAGGAGGTGTAATTTAGCTTCTCTAGCCCCCCCATGGGGTGGAAGACTAAAACCCCCCAACTGAATAGCCCTCGACCTGAACTCACTCCTTAGGCTCTTGGGCACAAAGGAGGGGTTCGGTCTGAGTGTCGCCCCACTCTGGTCACCCCGAATCAATAAACAGCTCGGGTGCACCGACAGAGCGGTTAACTCGGACACTCTTTTGGCTGACGTTAAGGCAAGTAGCAACGCTGTCTTCCACGACAGTGCTTTCAGGGAGGAGAGCTCAAGAGGCTCAAATGGCCCCGTGACCAAGGCCTCGAGCACCAGCGGCAGGTCCCACTGTGGGGCGGAGGCGTGCACCACCGGGCGCAGCCTCCTGACCCCCTGTAAAAACCGCAACATCAGTGGATGAGAGAAGGCTGACCTGCCGTTGAACCCCTCATGACAGGACGAGATGGCTGCTGCATACACCTTCACTGTGGAATGAGCAAGCCCTCTGTCCACCAGTAACTGTAAGAAGGATAAAATAGAGCCCAACTCACAAGATAGGGGCTCTATTCCCCGCTCCTCACACCAATGCTGGAATCTCAACCACTTCGGCCTGTAACAGGCTGTGGTGGATTCTGCTCTAGCTGCCTGGATAGACTGAATAACGCTGTCAGACAATCCACCCTGTCTCAGCCTGTCCCTCTCAGGAGCCAAGCCTGAAGAGGACGGCCCAGAGTGGGTAACGCCCCGATTGCACCTGCCTCTTGAGACATTGCCCCCCAGAACTGGGGGATCGCCCAGGGCTGGCCCACCTTCATCTGTGTCATTTCTGAGTACCACGGAGCCCCGACGCGATCCGGTGCCACCAGAATGACTGCCAGACGTTCTCGCCTCACTCTCCCCAGGAGAGGGAGAATGAGATGCAGCGGTGGAAAGGCGTATAGCAGCTTTTTTGGCCATGGCTCGTGTGCAAACGCGTCCACCCCCAAAGGCGGGTCGTCGCTCAGGGCCATGGAAAACCACAGGGCACAGTGGCTGTTGCGCCGGCTGGCGAACAGGTCCACTTCCGCTCTCCCGAACTGGGCCCAGATCTGCTTCACCACCTCCGGGTGAAGCGTCCATTCGCCTGGCAGGGGGCCGCCCCTCGACATGAGGTCGGCCCCCCTGTTCTCCAGTCCCGGGATATGGAGGGCTCTCAGAGATAATACCACCTCTGATGCCCATAACCACAGCCTCTCCGCTGTGGCCAACAAGGCGGCGGAGCGGACTCAGCCCTGCCTGTTGATATAAGCGACTGTGGTGCTGTTGTTGCTCCTGACCAGTACATGTCTCCCTTGAATTAGGGGCATGAAATGCTGGAGGACTAACACTACCGCCCGTAGCTCTAGGAGGTTGCTGTGTCATGTTTCTGTTAGAGACCAGCGCCCACCTATAGCCCTCTTCAGGCAGGTCCCTCCCCATCCTGTTCTGGATGCGTCCGTGAACACTGTGATGTAGGAGGTTACCCGTCCCAGTGGAGACCCCCTCCGGAGGCGCCCGGGAGACCCCCAGAACCGGAGGTTGCCCTCCACTGAGGGGGGGATGGTCACCAGCTGCCGTTTGTGCCTCTTGGGATCCAAACGCAGACTGGAAAACCACCTCTGCAGGCGGCGCATATGCAATAACCCCAACGGGACCACAACGTGAGCAGCCGCCATGAGACCCAGAGTCTGCATGACAGCTAAAGCTGTCACTGTTGCCCCCTGTTGCAGCCTGTGCACCGCCCTGAGAAGGGACGCACGCCTGTTCTCTGACAGGGTGGCACGCAGCGCGCCTGCATCGAGCCCCACTCCCAAATACAACGCCTGTTGGTGAGGTATGGGGGTGCTCTTTCGCCAATTGATCGCAAAGCCTAATTTGGTTAGGTGTGTGATCAATTGTGCTGTGCAACACATTGCCTGTTCCCGGGACCCAGCCATGACTATGAGGTCGTCTATGTAAAAGAAAACTCTCATGCCCTGGGCGCGCAGCGGTTGAAGCGCTGTGGCCACACATTTGCTGAATGTGCGTGGGGATAGGGAGTAGCCGAACGGGAGTCTGTTGTACTCGTAGGCTATCCCTTGAAAGGCAAAACGCAGATATTTCCTGTGCTCTGGCACAATCTCCACATGAAAATATGCGTCTTTCAGGTCGATGGTGGTGAACCAATCGCCCGGCTGCACTAGCCCCATTAACTGTTTGATAGTTAACATGCGAAATTTCCTGCGGCAAATGTGAAGATTCAGGCTGCGCAAATCTAGAATAGGTCTGAA